CAAGCAAAAAATAATGGCAAAATTTTACAGTTGGGAATTTGTACTGAAAGTCATGCAAATGTGTCTTCTAGTGCTGACACCCCTATTGCAAGGCCAGGATACCGGTACACTGCAGGTGACCAGTCATTTCAAGCCGACGGTACATTGTACATGTATCACAGATTCAGTATGTTATGGAAGTCTAGAAAACAGAAGATAGAGGGAGTGTTTAGGAACGCACAGTAAATAGTGGGTGCATTCATCTACATGAAGGTGGCACTACATGTAGTTTAATCCATGTTCCATGTACAAGGGTTTAACCTCATCCCCACTGTCCTGCTTGTTTGACACAACATGCACAACCATCCCCAGGGCAGGGTTGTGCTATCTAGGCTACTGGTAACCAAAGACACACATTGTGTTTGCTAGCCAAAAACCAAGGGTGGATCCAGGACTGAATGTTTTCAGTGGTGGGGGGGGGACTTATTTCCAGAGGCCAAAAATCCTTTTAATTTTTAAATTGTTTTGAGGAATTGGCTACAGTTCTGCTTTCCAAACGAAGGGAAATTCAATGGACCAAAACCATCTTTCCATTTTTTTTCAAAGGAAAACAATTTTACTGCTTTTTGGGGGACCATGGGCCCCACTGTCCTCTTCCCACCCTTCCCCGGATCCACCCTTGCCAAAAGCAAGCATATGAAACACATGACACTCTTACCTGCTGCTACTCATGAGGAACGTAACCTGCATCTTCAACTTTGGAGATCTCATCACTGGTCAGTCCACTCGCACCACAAAGCCGGATGCGTTAGCCAGCATCAGTGCAGACAGCCATTGCAGTGCATTCACCTGGCAACAAGGCCCTCCCAAATCTAAACACAGGGGAAAATAACAGAAAAATATAATAACAAGAAAAGGGAACCTTGGGTTTGTTGTTCACACCAGCACACAGTAATTGAGATTTGTTTGTTTCATAATGAGCAAAATGCAAGAGGCTTCAGCCTATCAGCAACTGCACTCTATTGTATTAGATCATATTTGGTCACTACTGGTCACGGTTAAACAAAACACAAGAAACCATACTGTGCTGGGCAGTGCAGGGTGTACCAGGTTGGCTGGGTTCTGATTGGCACGGGGAAGAAATCCTACAAAGATCTGGTAACAGATCAATTGACAGAAATCTTGCTGAGGAGAACGAACACTGATAACGCCGTTGCCTGCGTCTTGGGCATTTGCATCCATTCTCCTGAGCCGGTCTTAAACACACATTTGAGACTGGCTAAGCACATGTTTATTCCCTTATTATGAACTGGAAGGCTGTTATATGCCCTACTATGAACTGTCATGGATAGCCTGTAAATTTCTCATTATTCTATTATCACATCAGAACCGGCCCATACATGTACTGGATTTGTGATGGGTTTTCCACGGCACTTTTTCCTTTGGACAAGTTTACCATGAATTTTCCCTGAATTTCCCGGACACTTTTTTTCTACAATTTTCAAGGATTTCCCATTGACCATGATAATTACATGAATGGGAACCCTGTACAAGGAAATACAGGTTTTTTGGAATGATTTTTATTTTTTGAGTCGTGTAAATCAATGCCTTAAATCAAACTACCCTGCCAATTTGTTGAAACCAAGTTTTCAAATTTAGTTACACATAGTTTTTCAGGAATCTTCTTGTCAAACCTCTGCCTCCCTAAGAATGGAGTGTTAGACTTTTCTTTCAAAGGTGCAGTCCATCATTTGCAGTTAGTCAACAAGTAACTGATGAAAGCATTGTTGAAAACCCATACTTGGTTTAACCCTAACCCCCTAGGGTGTACATGAATGTAAAATCACATTGGAATCGGAGGAATTGGGACATAGATGGTCCTGGGACTAAACTCTCTCTGAAATTATTCCTTCTGGCCAAGCTATCATTTTGAACAAAGCAATGAAAGAGGGCCATTTTTGACAATGCCTCAAAACACAAATTTGTGGAAATTGTCATTAGTTGGCACAACACAAAGGCACACATGGCAATTACATGTAATATCACTGGTCTGTTCAGAGCGTAACATCACACAGATTCATTCGACTGAACCTGAGACCATGGCCAAGATGTGGAATTCAGGCACAATTCAAAACAGATAAAGAAACTTTTGATCACAAAAAATCCTGGAATACATGTTTTCTCAGAATGTACAGTATTCACTGAGCTGAAACTTCATCAGGTTTGTTCTCAGGCAACATTTTTCAGATTTTCAGTAATTCTTTTGCCTCAAAGGACCATAATGCATGAAGGGCAAGTGATGGACTTTACCTCTAAGCAAATTTGTTGTGACAACCAAAATCATGCTTATTCTTCTCGTAATTCTGTGAGGAAATTAAAAACAGCACGGAGCTTACACAATCAGGGCAGTGATGCCAGAAGATGAGCCCACAGACGGGACCAACCACGCTGATATCGCCTTACTCTATCAGGGCAGTGATGCCAGAAGATGAGTCCAAAGGCACGGGACCAACCACGCTGCTACCACCTTACTCTATCAGGGCAGTGATGCCAGAAGATGAGCCCACAGGCAGGGGACCAACCACGCTGCTATTGCCCTGCTCTATCAGGGCAGTGACGCCAGAAGATGAGACCACAGGAAAGGGACCAACCACGCTGCTACCAGTATCACTTTGCTCTACCACTGCAGAGATGCAAGAAGATGAGCCCAGAGGCATGGTACCAACCACACTGTGATCACTTTTAACACCAGCTAAAAATTCAAAGATAAAAACAGGTAGCAGTTACATGTATGTCTGTCTACATTGGCAATACTGCTTTCTTTAAGTATGCCCGCATAAGCTTTCTGCTCTTGACACAACGTGAAAACTGTAGCTGATGGGTGTGAGGGGGGATTTCTTGAAGAACCTCTGAACTTAACCCTAAAAGAGCCGGGGAGGGGAATGCAATCTGCCCAACCCCCCTTTACCTTTTCAGTGCATTTTTTTCTATGAGCTGAGCCTTTGGGTGTTTTTTCCCAGTAAATCTTTGCGGTCATTTGACACCATTTTTGTGAAATTGAATGCACCGTTCTCCTGCAGCTCCACCTTGAATTGAGACAGGTCAGCCAAAATTGCAAACTTTCCACTGTCATGCTCAACACATGCCGGTCCCTACGTAGGGTGCATGGCCTTCAACTTCAAATGACTGTAACCATAAGACAGATTGAATTGAACCTTAACGTACATGTACCAGTATTTGTCCTGCTAAGGAGCCTCTTTATGCCCATACTACATGTAAGTTTCTAAAAAACAGCCGCTGTGAGATGGTCACAAAAAACTTGGCTCTTTTAGCTTTACGGCGTTAGGAAGAGCAAGGGCTTAACGAAAACTAATTTCTAAACAGATGGCAAACTTGACTTAAAAGTGACAGCTTTTTGTACCTGCTGGTTTCTCCATACACTGTTCTTGTTCCTCATCACTGTCAGGGTCACTGTCATCCAAGTCCTCATTGGAGCTTGATTTTCTCCTGCACCTGCTGCTTCACAAGAACAAAACGGAGATAAAAAGCAAATGTCATCATTGTCTCTAAGAGTCGACTTCAGCTGTGAAAAGGGAACGGTGACTTCATTCCAAAATAAAACCAAAAATAAAAGGAGTTAAATTTCCTCAATGTTTTGGTTTGTTTGGCCTTCTTGTTTCTTTTCTTCTCTGGAAATAAGGAAATAACCTTAAAATAAATAAAAATCTTGGCAACTACTCATCAGTGGAGAGTCCACCGCGCGTCGCACATCGCTTCGTTTTTTCCATGCTTGTGCAGTGCCAATTTTCACTTTGATCCTTGATCTTTTTTACATACTTGTTCGATTGATCCGAAATGCCTGTCTGTCCTTCCACAATATCACACCCCGGGAAATCACAAGAGTATCTTTGATTACAATGTTTAATTCCTTAATATATCTTATAAGAGGCGAACTGGTTCAACATCATTTTGAGGGCGGGTATACATGTACCTATGACGACATATGTTGTCCATGTATACTCAAAATTAGACATGACTTGAGTTGCACGTACATGTACTGTAGGCACACAGAAGTCTTTTAACCCTAATCCTCCCAAATCCTCCAAAGTCTTTTTCTGCAAAGTGGAGGAATTTGGAGGATTCAGGGTGTATGGAAAAACTGCATGGCTGATTTCGAAGGATGCCATACATGTACGGTACGTGAAGATCTTGGATTAGACCTTATCATGATTATCTTATCTGTGGCTAGTCAAGCACAAATTCAGCCCGATATTTCTTTTGAATCAACCACACTGCTCAAGAGTGCCATTCGCACTACCTCAACATAATAATGAGGATTTTGAACGATTTGGGCAGCTAGACACACTTCCAAATGACATTTTTCAAGAAATTTTGGAGGATTTGGGCTGAATGCAATTTTTTCATGTTGAAAATTGGAGGATTTAGGATGGTTCCTAGTAAAAAGGCCAGGGGGTTAGGGTTAAGCAGTAATGTTACTTTGTTAGACCTATAAATAGCGCTGACATGCTGGACTACTNTGTGCTCATTGGCCTATCCACCATGGCATACGCACCCACAAAAACCAATATTTCCTGAAAATTAAACCAAGTCATGATTTCCCCCTACAATTAAATAAACAGTTACTTATCCACAGCACAATTGACAAAAACAATTTGCAATCTATCTACATGTAGTATTTGTAGATTTCAAAGTGAAATTGAGAGGACAAAATGGAATGTCTGTATTGGCTGGCAGATTTCTTTCTAGAATTTCATGATAACAAGTCAGCACATTTTTACAGTAGACAAGAGTGAATCGCACTGCTGATAAGTTTGTCTGTAAACATTTTTGCGGAAAACATTTGCTCCCTTAAAACACTTGGTTGAATTCTCAGAAAGGTGACCTGTGATCATGGTGATGGGGGGATGCAGATAAGGCGATGGACGACGCACGACAGACGACAGAAAATAGCATACAGTACATGTATATGGAACTAGAAAATGGCAGAATTGGAACACAACAAAAAGAAAGAGTTGACGAACGACGTGCAACGGATGATGGCAGATAGGGAATTCCATACAACAAAAAGTTTTCTCATAGAATTGTAAAGCTTGCTTACGTTATATCTTGCAGCTTTCCCACAGTCTCTGAACAAGGTATATGTATATACAATACAATGTACCTAAAATGTACATTGGGTTCCCTTCACTGCCTGTGCTACTGCTGTCAAAGTCATCCTTATCATTCTTTGTGCAGATTTTTGGACAGGACGGAATACTTGGACAAAATCCTCATTATTCAAGTAGCAAGGCACACACCCCGCACTCATTCAGACAGGATGAAATAGTGTGGAAAAACTCAGATTATTCAAAAAGCAAGGCATGTACTCATTCGGACAGGACAGAATAACTTGGACAAAATCCTGATTCAGGTACATGTAGTAAGGCATACTCATAATTCGGACAGGACAGAATAACTCAGACAAAATCTTGAATATTCAAGTTGCAAGGCATAATCCAGACAGGGTGGAATACATACATGTCCATGTATACATGTAACTTGGACGAAATCCTGATTATTCAAGAAGTACAGGTAAGGCATACTCATTCAGACAGGACTGAATAAGTTCGAATATTTAAGAAGCACATGTACATGTAAGGCATACTTACATGTATTCAGACAGGACAGATTTACTTGGACAAAATTCTGATTTACTTAAGTAAGAAGGCAGACTCATTCAGACAGGACGGAATAACTTGGACAAATTCCTGAATACAGGCCCGTAGGCTGAGGGGGTTGGGGGGTTGGAATGAAACCCCTCCCCCTGCTCGCTTTTGAGTTCAGCTTGGTTTTCTTTTTTTTTTATAAATGTATTTTGGGGGGGGAATATAAGCCGCAGTTTATACATTGATGCTCACGCGGAAAATGTCTCTGCAGTTTATAATGAACTGCTGGCGGTTTATATAGCAACATTTGAAGAATGAAATCAGTCGCTAAATGCTGCGCCATGCCTATGGAATCATAGATTGCCAAGGTGAAGAGACTACAAATCAGCTATTTCAGCGTAAAAAGCTAGTTGTCGTGGTGACAGGTTAACCCCAAGATATTCACTCTGTGCTGCCCAGACTGGAAAGGAATATGTCACTCGCGCGCACACTAAACTTTCTTCATGGGCATGTGCTATACATTTCTAAGGGCTGGGTGGCGTGCCAAATAAACTATGGTGACCCTTAACACATGCTTCCTACATTAAGAATTATGTTCATATCGTTCACTCGACACCCAGTGCCAGATTCAAGGTGCTGAGTGAACAGCAAATTCATATACGAGGCCAATTTACAATATGCCATGAATATTGAAAACTGAAGTAGGGGCCTATGCACGTCTATACATGCATCCTTCGGTTCACGACAAACATGGAACTTGTTTGATTTTGTGTTCCAAAGCACATTATGATAGGCCTTTGTATAGAAATATATAATCACAGTGCCAAAAGTTCCACTTTTGGGTTAGACGAGCTGTTTTGCTGTTCTCTGGTCAGGCAACAGGGCCTGGAATAGTCAAGTAGCAATGCATGATACTCATTTGGACAGGACAGAATACTCGTAACTTGGACAAAATCCTGATTAATCGAGAAGCAAAGCATACTCATTTGGACAGGAAAGAATAAGTTGGACAAAATCCTGATGTTTGAAGAAGCAAGGCATATTCATTTGGACAGGATGGAATAACTTGGACAAAATCCTGATTATTCAAGTTAGCGAGACATAAGGACAGCATAGGAAGACTGGTGATTCCTACATGTACATGTAGGAACCTTCCCAAATCCTTAAAATTCATCCCCAGAATGGGCATTGTATTCAGTCAAATTCTACTGGGGCACCAAGTCCCATGTGAAATCACAGTGGCCGGGCTGTCTTGTTTGTTTTACAGAGCATGCACAGCCATCCCCAGGGCAGGGCTGTCCTGTGTAAGTTACTGGTAACCAAAGACACACATTGCTTTTGTTAGCTAAAAACCAAGGGGTAGATCCAGGACTGAATGTTTTCAGTGGGGGGGGGGCAAACTTACATGTATTTCCAGGGCACAAAAATCCTTTCAATTTTGAAATTGTTTTCAGGAGTTGGCTACAGTTCTGCTTTCCAAACGAAGGGAAATTCAATGGACCAAAACCATCTTTCCATTTTTTTTCAAAGGGAAACAATTTTACTGCTTTTTGGGGGACCATGGGCCCCGCTGTCCACTTCCCACCCTTCCCTGGATCCAGCCTTGCCAAACGCCAGCATATGAAACACATGGGACACTCTTACCTGCTGCTTAAACCTGCATCTTCAACTTTGGAGATTTCATCGCTGGTCAGTCCACTAGCTCCACAACACGGGATGCGTTAGGCTGCATCAGCGCAGACAGCCATTGCAGTGCATTCACCTGGCAACAAGGCCCTCCCAAGTCTAAACACACGGGAAAATATGAAAAGAAAAATTACAACAAGAAAAGGGAACCTTGGGTTTGTCATTCACTCAGTCATTTGTTTCAAAATGAGCAAATTTTAAGAGGCTTCAGCCCATCAACAACTGCCCTCTACTGTATTACAGTGTAGATCATATTTGGTCCTGACTGGTCAGGGTTGAACCAAAAAAAAGAAACCATACTGTGCTGGGCAGTGCAGGGAGTACCAGGTTGGGTGGGTTCTGATTGGTACGAGAAGAAATCCAACAAAGATCTGAAAACAATTTAAAGAAATCTTGCTCAGGAGAACGAACACCGATAATATCGTCGCCTATGCCTTGGGCATTTACGTTTTTCAGGAATCTTCTTGTCAAACCTCTGCCTCCCTAAGAATGGAATGTTAGACTTTTCTCTCAAAGATGCAGTCCATCATTTGCAGTTAGCCAACAAGACACTGATGAAAGCTACTTGGTTTAACCCTAACCCCCTAGGGTGTACATGAATGTAAAATCACATTGGAATTGGAGGAGTTGGGACATAGATGGTCCTGGGACTAAACTCTCTCTGAAATTATTCCTTCTGGCCAAGCTGTCATTTGGAGGAAAGCAATGAAAGAGGGCCATTTCTGACAATGCCTCAAAACACAAATGTGTAGAAAATTGCCATTACATGTAGTTGGCACGACACAAACCTCTAAGCAAATTTGTTTTGACAACCAAAATCATTCTTATTCTTCTCGTAATTCTGTAAGGAAAAAAACAAGATAGAGCTTACACTATCAGGGCAGTGATGCCAGAAGATGAACCAACAGGCAGGGGACCAACCATTCTGCTATCGCCTTTGTTTATCAGAGTAGTGACGCCAGAAGATGAGCCCACAGGCAAGGGACCAACCACGCTGCTATCGCCTTTGTCTATAAGAGTAGTAATTCCAGAAGATGAGACCACCTGACCACAGGCAGAGTACCAGCCACACTGCAATCACCTTACTCCATCAGGGCAGTGATGCCAGAAGATGAGACCACAGGCAGGGAACCAACCATGCTGCTATCGCCTTACTCTATCAGGGCAGTGATGCCAGAA